GATGTGTCTTAATAAAACAGAAATATATAAAGGGGGCAGTATCCTCAAATGAATGGTCTCTTGGGACATTTCAGTAAAATTCTCTAATAGATAATGAGTATATTTGGGAAGGAGAAATTCAATGAGTAAAGGCTCAAAGGCTTCTCTAGATATTTCATCAGCTAAAAAGATTTTGCTGCCTGAGGTGGAGCAGTACATGCCAAACCCCAAAGCTGATTTGCTAATTTTGGTATGAGAAATAAAAATTGCCTTTTCTTTAAGAATTAACCAGAATCAGCTACCTCACTCTTTCTAATCATGACTAATTTTGACTTTCTCTGTTCAGTCTTCAAGAGCTTAAGTCTTACGTTTATTTCTTACATTAGAAGAATTTATTTTTATTTATTTACAAATAAATAAATAATTAGAAGAATATCTCTAAATCCTCCATAATGAACGGTAGACTTTAGGACAGTGGTTCTCAACCTGTGGGTCCCCAGATGTTTTGTCCTTATTTATTTATTTATTTATTTATACACTTGTATACCGCTAATATCTCAGCCTAAGTCGGCGACTCATTGCGGTTTACAACAATTAAAAACAGTATTCAATTTAAAAACATAAAAACACGTTCAATACAAATTATTGGGCCACCAATAATAATCCCATGCATCTCGTAGTTAAAATCACAATCCAAAATTCGTCGTCCGTGATTGCCAGTCCTTTGGTCATCAAAATTCGTTGCGACGGATTAACCGAATGCTTGTTTAAACATCCATGTTTTCAATCTCTTCCGAAACACCATCAGCGAGGAGGCTGATCGTACCTCTATAGGGAGGGTGTTCCAAAGCCGAGGGGCCACCACAGAAAAAGCCCTGTCTCTCGTTCCCGCCAGCCGCACTTGTGAAGCCGGCGGGATAGAGAGCAGGGACTCTCCAGAAGATCTTAGGGTCCTGGTGTGCTGATAGGCCGAGATACGTTCGGATAGATAAGTTGGGCCAGAACCGTTTAGGGCTTTAAAGGCCAATGCCAGCACTTTGAATTGAGCCCGGTAGCATATCGGCAGCCAGTGGAGCTGGTGCAGCAGAGGAGTTGTGTGCTCCCTGCACCCCGCTCCTGTTAGTAATCATGGCTGCCGCCCGTTGGACTAGTTGGAGCTTCCGGGCTGTCTTCAATGGCAACCCCACGTAGAGAGCGTTGCAGTAATCAAGGCGGGATGTAACCAGAGCGTGGACTACCGTGGCTAAGTCAGACTTCCCAAGGTACGGTCGCAGTTGGTGCACAAGTTTTAACTGTGCGAATGCTCCCCTGGTCACCGCCGAAACCTGGGGTTCCAGGCTCAGCGATGAGTCCAGGATCACACCCAAACTGCGAACCTGCGTCTTCAGGGGGAGTGCGACCCCGTCTAACACCGGCTGTAACCCTATACCCTGTTCGGCCTTGCGACTAACCAGGAGTACCTCTGTCTTGTCTGGATTCAATTTCAATTTGTTCGCCCCCATCCAGACCGTCACAGCGGCCAAGCACCGGTTCAGGACCTCGACAGCCTCCTTAGTAGCGGGTGGAAAGGAGTGACAGAGTTGGACATCATCTGCGTACAGATGACATCGCACTCCGAAACTCCGGATGATCTCGCCCAGCGGCTTCATGTAGATGTTAAACAACATGGGAGACAGTATTGAACCCTGAGGAACTCCACAGGACAAAGGCTGTGGAGTAGAACAGGAGTCTCCCAGTAACACCTTCTGAGACCGACCCTCGAGGAATGAGTGGAGCCACTGCAGAACAGTACCTCCAAGACCCATCCCCGCGAGGCGTCCCAGAAGGATACCGTGGTCGACGGTATCGAAGGCCGCTGAGAGGTCGAGCAGCACCAACAGGGACACACTCCCCCTGTCAAGCTCCCGACGCAGATCATCCACTAAGGCGACCAAGGCTGTCTCGGTACCATGCCCCGGCCTAAAGCCAGACTGTGCCGGGTCTAGATAATCCGTGTCTACCAAGAATACCTGGGGTTGTGAGGCCACCACACGTTCCAAGACTTTGCCCAAGAAGGGGAGATTAGAAACTGGCCGATAGTTGTCAAATTTAGTGGGGTCCAGTGATGGTTTCTTCAACAGCGGTTTTATCACAGCTTGCTTTAAGCTGGCTGGAATTTTGCCCTCCCGAAGGGAGGCATTAACCACCACCTTCACCCACTCGGCCAATCCCCCTCTGGCCTCCTTCAGAAGCCAGGATGGGCAGGGGTCTAGGATGCATGTGGTAGCTCTCATTCCTCCAAGCACCTTGTCCACATCCTCGGATTGAACCAATTGAAATGAATCCATCAAAACCGGACAAGCAGATGCTCGTGTTACATCCTCAGATACTGCCGTTAATATGGTATCCAGTCCAGAGCGGATCAAAGCGACTTTGTCTGCGAAGAACCGAGCAAAGGCTTCGCAGCGAGCTGCCGAGTCATCAGGGCACCCATCCTGAGTGGTGGGTTTTAATAGGCCTCTGACAACTCGGAACAGTTCCGCCGGACGGTTCTTTGCAGACGCAATAGTGGCCGCAAAGAAAGTCTTCTTTGCGGCTTTTATTGCCGCGGCATATGCCCTTAAAAAGGACACAAACCGTGTTCGATTTGGCTCGCTCGGATCCGAACGCCACACGCTCTCTAGTTCCCTCTTCTTTCGCTTCAACGCTGCCAGCTCCTCGGTGAACCAAGGAGCTGGTTTAGCTCGGCTACTTGAGAGGGGACGTTCTGGAGCGATCGTGTCTATTGCCCTAGTCATCTCCCCCTTCCAGAGAGCGACCAGAGCATCAACAGGATCACCAACCGAAGTGGCGGGAAATTCCCCAAGAGCCGTCAGGAATCCATCCGGATCCATAAGCCTCCTGGGGCGGACCAACTTAATGGGTTCTCCACCTCTGCGGAGGTTGGGGGGTGCAGTGAGTCTAAAGCTGACCAGGTGGTGGTCGGTCCATGGCAACGGAGAGATGGATAACTCCTCAACACCGCCACCTTCCTCCCATCCCTGGCAGAAAACCAAGTCCAATGTGTGTCCAGCACTGTGGGTGGGGCCAGATACCTGTTGGGACAGCCCCATGGTTGCCATGGCAGACATGAAGTCCTGAGCCGCTCCCGATAAGGCGGTCTCGGCGTGGACATTGAAGTCCCCCAGCACAAGCAGCCGTTGGGACTCCAACGCCAGGTCCGAGACCACCCCCGCTAGCTCAGTCAGGGAGTCTGTAGTGCAGAAATCAACTCCCAGAAATCCTAACAGCTGGTAAAGTGGCTGGGGTTTCTGGGAGTTGTGGGCCAAAACACCTGGGGGACCCACAGGTTAAGGCTTTAGGAAGACCTAGAAATTTCTAGAGAGAATACATTTCTATACATTTGTAGGTCCTCTAATGTGATTCTGTGGTCAACTTCCAGCAGAAGTTGATGACAGAGTGGCACTGAAAGATCTAGAAATTCCTAGATAGGTGTTCTCAGGTTAAAAAAAATCTTCTTAATCAAGGTTTTGTGTGGTTTCTGAGTCCCTAACCCTAGTGAATGTCAAGGACTGACTGTATACGAATAAAGGACTGAACTAGAATTACTGTAGTTCAACCCTCAATTCATCCATGAAGTAGACTTGCTACCTCATCTGACGGGCAAAATTGCCCATCTTACGATACTCCCTTTTCACTTGCAGCGTCCGCTGGCACCCACCCCATGATGTAGATCTACTTCCGGCGGGACTCCAGGATCCATAGTAAGAGGGTGCATCATAAGCCACCGTGGAGGCTCCCATGTTGCATAGGCAATAACGGAAAGAAGCTGGGCAGTGGATGCTCCCCCTTTGGGAAGTGGTGAGGGGCAAGCCAGGCAATGTGGGGCATCCCATGCCCCCCACAGGGCCCCGACATATTCACCATGCTGCGTGGTGAATCCCAGTTTTAATGTGATTATGTCCTTGGTGATCTTGAATTAGTTGTTCTCTTATCATAGTATATATGCAGGAAGAGAAATAGAAATAGATTTCTTATGCTGAGAAAAAAAGACATCAACCTCTATGCACATTTTAAGTTATTACATAAGTTAAATTACTACATAAATAAATTCAGTTATTAAATAAGTAAATAAATAATTGTACATATAGGATAACATCTTGAAAACTTTCTTCTGGCATAAAAATCAACTCAAAATAAGTCGAACTCTTCTGCAGCATATAAGGGTTCTTTTTCCTGGCAATAGCATGTAACCCCTCAGTAAAATAATAGGCTGCCCATAGTCAAAAAATTCCTTATTCCTGATCTAAATAGGCAGCATCTCCTTATCTAAACAGACAGTCTTCTCCAACCTGATGTCTTCCAAATACATTGGACTACAACAATGGACACAATCAGTGCTAGCTGAGGATGAATAGAATTATAATGCAATATATCTTGGGGATACCAGACTCAGGGATGCTGTCTTACATGAAAGAGTTGAAATTATTTGACACTTAGTGTTTTGTAATCATAGCACTTATATAGCATATTGAGGGAAATGTAAATTGAAAGTGATTTTATGCCGGCCTCAGATTTGTTGTTGGCATTTTCTTTGGCATAATAAATGTCTTTTCTTTCATCTTCTATCCCTCCACTTTTCCCTTCTTGCATTTTCCTTTGTTTTGTACATAAATCTGCCTTATTACAATAGCACTCTTGTGCATTTGGTTTGAAGTTATAGTGATTTTAAATCCAGTAACTAAGGCATGTAATATAGAAAGCACTGTTTCTGAAGGAATCCTCCCCCCCCCCCTTTCCTTTTCTTAGAAGTACAAATGGAGGATTACCTCAGTGTAATTGTTTTCACAGCTTTTTTCTGCTTTCATGACAACTGTTATTTCTCTGGCATGTCCAACAAAAGCTCTCAGGCTTTCAGTAGTTTCTCACAAAATATTTATAGTACTAAGATCACTTCTGACATAATCCACTCATTGTTTAGATTGCTGACAGTGAGTTTGCTTTATTATTTATTACTTTTTTATTTTGTTTGTGTCACACAGCACGGAAGAAATGGAAGATGCCACTTTATGTAGGGATCCCCCCTGCTTGCAGACAGAACCATGTTGCTTTTATTCTCCACAGCCATGTAAGTGAACATTATTTTAAAGTCAGAAACGTCATTCTCTGAATTTTACAGCCTCTTATGGTATGTGCATTGTCTAATTTCTTTCAATATATTTTTTAAAACAGAACAAAAAAAACCCCACTCTGAACACATCAAGCCAGTAAATCAGCTAATAATACTAAAGCTTACAACATGTAAAGCTGACAATGGTGATTAAATCTCTTCCACAGGAAGAAACATGATGTCCTATGGAAATTATGTGGTTGGGAGCTTGTCTACGCTGGATCCAAACTCCAAGTTTGAACCAACGTCAAACTTGGATGTCCAGACAACATCCGAGATTTCCAATTCAAAATCATTTAATACGATTTTAACACACATTCAGCGAAACAAACACCAGAGCAGCCCTGGACTTCAGGGTTACTGTGTATTGCTAGACCAACAATAATCCAAAAACAGTTCAGTTACAGTAATCTGTGACTTACCAAAGCTGCAAATGCATAACCTACAAATGTGAAGGGGCAGTTGTAGTGTGAAGAGAATACGCCAAAAAGCAGGAAGGGGGCAGGGGAGTATTTGTAATTTGGGCAGTGCCATGTGCAAGGGTCCCGGTATCAGGGCTGAGGTTTATACAGGGTGAGGCAGCATAACTTCCTTTTTTAAAATGCGCACCATTCAGTCGGTTGAAGACGTAGCGGAGCACTAGTGGTCTCGTTTGAGAGGCGGGAGTATAAAGTTTTGTGCTGACACAGTTCAGTCGCCATCATGCGTTGGAACAGTGAGGAACGTGCTTTTGCCGTTGAGGCCTACTTTTCCAGCAGATTTGGAGTGGCCGGCCTGCTCTCCAGATTTGGCCCTTTGTGATTTTTTTTCTATGGGGTTTTTTGAAATCCCGTATTTATGTGAACAGTCCAAGGACCCTACAAAATTTGAAGACCAACATCCAGGAAGAAATTGCCAAAATAATGTCTGCTATGCTGGCAAGAGTCATGACAAACACCAGAAATCGGTTTACTCTGTATGGAGAATTCAGAATGGGGGACGTTACCTACCTAATTTGATCTTCAAAACTACATAAAACAAAACTTTAGGTATGCACCTACATTATAAAAAAAAATCTGATTCATACAATGGGTTTTATTAAGTTTTGAAAAAAAATAAGTTATGCTGCCTCACCCTGTATAAACAAAAGCAAAATAAGATGAAGACCATATTTTATTTATAAAGAAAACAAAAGTGTCTTTCAAGGTCCAGCCAAAATAACAAAATTCCAAAACACAATCTGATAACTAGGACACATCCTGAAGTAAAAAAAAAATCAAATTAATGAAGATAAGCCAAGGAGTACATAGTCAGGTCCAAAACAACAACAAACATCAAAGACCACAGTCCAGTAATCAAATCCCAGAAATTCAATTATCAGAGTCCATAAGTCAAAGGTCTGGAATCCAGGAATACAAACCTAAGTCAAAAGTCAGAAATGCAATTGTCACATCCAGAAGTCAAAGCTGGGAATACAAACAGAGTCCTTAAACAGAGTACAAGGAAGCCAAGGGCAAAGTCCAAAAATCCTACACCAGGAGTTCTTGGAAAACAAGGTGCAGTATACTCAGTGCCCAAGAAAAGCGTATGCTCACCTAGAGCTACTTCACAAAGGGTCTCATCACACTAGAGAAAAATCCACTTAAAATCCGGTTGCTTCCTCCTGCAGAATTCTGGGGTTTGTAGTTTAGGGAAGAGCCTTTTACAGCCTCACTAAACTACAAACCCCAGAATTCTGCAGGAGGTAGAAACCAGATTTTAAGTGGATTTATTCTCTAGTGTGATGAAGTAGAAAGACAACTTTATTTAGAGGTCTCAGCTGAAGCTCATCGCATCCAGACTCAACCTCTTATTTGTTCCAAAACCTTCAAACCTTTATTTGTTCCAAAGGCTGATTAACCCCAAGCTTGCTGGAAATACTGAGAAAAGTCCTCTTTTGCTGGAAACCGGTCCCCAGTAGTAGTTGACCCAGGCCAGACTGCTGGCCATGACAGGCAGACATAAGATCACTAAAGAAGTCATAGGGAGGAGGAAGCAGGCTTGTTTTCCCATACCCTGGAGACTAGGGTACAGAGCAGTGGCTTCAAACTACAGGAAAGGAGATTCCACCTTAACATTAGGAAGAACTTCCTGAGTGTGACAGTTGTTCAGCAGTAGAACTCTTTGCACCAAACTGTGGCATAGGCTCCTTCTTTGGAGGCTTTTAAACAGAGGCTGGGTGGCCATCTGTCGGGGGTGCTTTGAATGCAGTTTTCCTGCTTCTTGGAAGGGCTTTGGACTGGATGGCCCATGATGTCTCTTCAAACTATGATTTTATGATTCATTTAGAAAAAATAAGGGAGCACTTGCCTGTGTCGCACTTAGGTGTGGTTCATTTGTTCTTCCTTCACCACGGAACATCTGACTTTCTTTATGAGATTAGTATAGTTATCTTGACATAACCTGGTCCTGAATTGTATAGGGCTTTGCATACTACACCAATTGTATAAGCCTAGTCTGGTAGAAGACTTCCAGTCAGTGTGGTCTGTCTAACACAGGTATCATTGGTTCTTGTTAAGGCACCCCAGTTCCAACTGCTATCCATTCAATCATAGTCTACTCAAGATCAAGTGCATCTGCAAGGCTCTTATTTCAACCTAGGATCTAAGGGCAGGATAGAGAGCTGCTTATAATGTACTGGAATGGACTTGCTGAGAATCTCAACAAATTCCAAAGAAAAACCATGCAATAAAAATGTTCATAAGTGTGGTTTCTAATAACATTGCTTTTCAATACATGCTGAATTTATTACTAAGTATTCTTTTTTATTATTATTATCACAGCTCTATATCTTTGGTGGAATAAATGGAAAAGATTTCAACGATCTTGTAGGAATGAAATTGATAAAGCCTTCAGACAGACAACCTAGTAAGTTTATTCGGGACTGATCATCTTTGAAAGTTCACTTGCATTCTGAACCCTCAGTGATATCACTAAGAAATCATGAGAACTTCTGAATTTCCAAACTTATTTAGTCTTAAAATAGAAATCACACTTTTGCAATTCTGATGGTCTTTTCCAAATGAATCTCTGTTCACTTTAGTGGGACATACTTCTAGATAAATGCATATAAGATTGCATCTGATGCTGCTTAAAATTGTGAGTTTTCTGTGGTGAGAGATTTTAGCTGTGCAATTTCAGAATTATATTCTTTGTGTACATTAATATACATTTACTTGTGACTTAGCCTGTTAAGGAAAATAGAGTAAGTTTGGCTTTGCTATTTTCAGTCAAGTAACCAGTCATGAGCATTTTGCAATTATGAAATCACATTTAGTAAGTAAGTAACACTTTATTTCTATCCTGCCCTATTTCCCCATGGTGGCTCAGGGTGGTTCACAACATAAAAGGCAAATATTCAATGGCATATAATACAATAATAGACTAAAACAATTCAAAATAAACATAACAGAGCATTCGTCAATAAAACAAATCACATGAAAAAATAATAAATTACACAATGTTAATAAAACAAAAGTCAAAAGCCGTGTCAAAATACCATTTCTTATTCCATTTAGAAGATGTTTAATTGGTTCTTTAGTTTCCTATGGCTTTTGTCCATCTTTTCACTTTGTATTTGCTTAAATTCAAAGGAAGTGTAATTCATGGCCTCTCTACTCACCTTGTATAATTGTTGGATATGCTACACTGGCTTCTGTCACGAATCTATAGGAAGAATATATTCAGCCTCATAAAACTAATGTTACTATGTGTGGTATTTTCAGACTGCAAAGTTAAGTCCATCTAACTTTAGGATAATATTACTTGCTTGCAGCTGTAGTAGTAAATTAAATTATTGTTAGTAATTAAGGTTTCAATTATAACCAAATTGGCTTTTAGATATGGGATGGGATATGCATTTTCTACTATTTCTTACCTGATTATATTGAGATCCTATCCTACATCAAAAGTAGAATATGGTTTTAAAAATGGAGAAGACAAGCATTTGTGGTGTGCATTTTCTGTACACCCCCGCCCTCCTTTATCCCACTTCCGGATATTCAGGCCTGCATAGATGTGGCCTGAGTAAATACAGAGATCCCTTTCAGAGCCTTTGCAAGTTTTAGCAACAAAATTAAACCTTGCCGATTGTATCAAGATATTGCTATACTGGCTGAGTTGGAGGTTTGTACACTGCCTTTCAACTCACCTGAACTGAGCTTTCCACAACTGGAGAATTTGCACCCTTGTCTGCCACCTGAAGTTGACCCATAAAAACTGGACCTCAATATCAGGTTCTGAAATCTGGTAATCCTAAACTGGAGAAAGGTGAATATATAGCCTTCATTGACTCTTGGTAAGGTGTCATCAGATTGCCCTTCATCAATGATCCTACCTTGAGACAGTTTTGGGTGGCTATGAGTTGTCATTTTAAGTTTCCTTCAACGGATCTATGCCATCATAGTGTTGCTTCAGAACATTTTCAGAAATTTTTAAATGGCCAAGGAAAGAGCAAGCTGCCCAGCTCAAGAGCATGCATCAGTACTAGTAGCCTTTGACAGAATGCTAGAGCTGTGATAGATGCCTGAGGGTGGCAAATGCTCAAACCAAGACTGACAATGAATAAAATGGGGAATAAGGTGGGGGAGCAGAAGCAAGCTGTGCCTCCTTCTTGCTCAGATTGATGAAACAGTTTATTCTGTTTCTATTCTGTTCTTGAAGAGATCAGATCAATTAACAAAGAAAACAAATCATAACGTTTGCAGAGATTTTTTTTATATACATTTATCCTGTACATCCATATTTTATACATTCCAGATGTGCCTTCACATTTTGCATACAGATCAAAGATATGATTCCTTGTTTGAAAGATAGGATTCCTTCAATTATGTTTGCAAGTTGTGTCCTGTGACAAAGGTTCAAATAGTGGCAAATGGTAGTGGCTAAATTTGCAAAGCCTTGAGTTCAGCCATAAACAATTGCTTCCTTTATAAAGTAGTTTTAATTGCTGTGGTTAAATTAGTCATCTTGGGTTTTCCATTTCTTTATTTTCTTTCCCGTTTTAGTGTTTTACAGTTCCCTTGCTGTACTTACTGTATTTATTTAGTGTTTAAAATAATGATTAAGTTACTGCCTCAGCATTAGTCCTTAGCCACTTTGAGTTTTGTGAGGAAAGGCAGGGTAGTTTTTAAGTTTGAGAAAAAGCAGAGACAAAATGCTATTCAGTGAACAATTGATCAATTTTTCAAGAATGATGGACTATAAAGAATATTTTTTATTCTTCCACTAATGTTAGCTAACAGAGTACCTTGTATACTCGTGAAATTTTAATCAAAAATCAAACCAAAAAACCTGGTGTGGCTTATCCATGGCTTAATGTGAGAACTGTACCTTAACTCCTATAAGAAAAGGAACCATGCCCTTTTCTGAATTGAGTGGTAAAAGACAAGACCTAAATCCATCCCAGGAGACCTTAAAAGAAGCAGGGACCCCCTCTGTTCTCTTTTAAGGTAATGGTGGTGGCCATGGATGACTGGTCACTTGAAATGGCATTGGTGCTTTCCCCTCTCCACAGAATGACCCTCAACATATCCATAGATCATATAAAAATCCATAATTCTGGTCCTGAAACCTGCCCTCGACTTATACATGAGATAAGTTTATACCATAGTTTTACTCTAATCCTTCACAACATGTTAGGACTGACTGTTAATCCACTGGAGTAGTTTTTCTCAAACTGTTCTTCTTCATGTGTTTTGGACTTAAGCTCCCAGCCAGTTTACCAGCTGTTAGAAATTGTGGGAGCTGAAATCCAAAACATCTGGAGGAGCACAGTTTGAGAAACACTTCACTGGAGAAAGAAACCAATAATGTTTTTGTATTACTTGTTATAATGCCATTTATTGTCTGCGGAAGCTGCCATGCAAACCTGTGTGTTTTACTTGTGATTACTAATTTAGAGAAGTAATTCATGCAATAAATGATTCTTAATGATTTCAAAATAGACTCTCAATTTATTTTTAGCCATGACTGCTTTGAACTAATGGATATTTCTGCTCTGAATTTTAGTTATGAAGGAGATTTTTTCAGAACTGGGAATCCAAGAAATAAACAGCAGGTATGTCTTCAGATGCCTTTTTTCTCCTATATTTTCTGCAGTGGGTGGGGGGTAACAATAAGAATTATTACTCCTGTTAACACACACAGTTAACACACACATCCATGTCACTGATCCAGACAACAGTACTAAGAAGACAAAAGGGGACACACACAGCCAGGCATGTAGTTGGGGGGGGGGGCTTGGGGGGCTTCAGCCCCCTCCCCCCAAATTCTCATGGTGGTCTGCGAAAAGGCCTTACTGGTACATTATTTAAACTGTTATGTTTATTCATATCATGATCTGATCACCATGCTCAATATATCTCATATGCATGGGGGTATTGGGGTAACAATACAAAAGGTTTGCTAGGGTAGACCCTCTTTCACTCAGACTCAGCCCCCCCTCCCCGAATCAAACTCAGCCCCCCCCCCCTCCCGAATCAAAATCCTGGCTACGGGCCTGCACACAACCCTTCATGGTATTGGCCAACATGTGTGCGGATCAGAGGTCACATCAGCCAGCTCTCCATGCCCACCATGCTTTCCAGCCATGCATCCTGCTGGTTGTAAAAATGGATCTTCATCACAAACAGACTTACATGCTTATTCCTTTCTTTCATTTTTGCAAGCAAGATCAAGTAATCACAGCAGTCCTGCTCTGTGAGAATATGAGGGTGTCTACAGTGGGTTGTTGTAGGTTTTTCTGGCTGTATGGCCATGTTCTAGAAGCATTCTCTCCAGACGTTTCACCTACATCTGTGGCAAGCATCCTCCAAGGTTGTGATGTGTCTACAGTGTTTTCATTATATATCTATAACCAGAGGCGGCCCTAGGTAATTTTCAATGGTAAGCAAACAGTATTCCCCCCCCCCCCCACACCAATCACTGATATATATTTTCTGTTCGTCATGGGAGTTCTGTGTGCCATATTTGGTTCAATTCCATCATTGGTGGAGTTCAGAATGCTCTTTGATTGTAGGATTGATTCAAAAACATACATCCCAGTAACTACAATGTCAAGGTCTATTTTCCCCCAAGAGCGCCCCTGGGCAAAATCAACTATACTGCAAATGCTTACTTTGCGTAATGGGTTGAGCCGCCCTTGTGTGGTAAATATATATAAGCATATGTATGTATGTGTGCATGCATGTGAAGAGAGGCACTTGAATAATGTATACACATAGGTGACCACGAACATTTAGATAAAGGTAAAGGTAAATGGATGGCCATCTGTCAGGGGTGCTTTGAATGCAGTATTCCTGCTTTTTGGCAGGGGGTTGGACTGGATGGCCCATGAGGTCTCTTCCAACTCTATGATTCTATGAATGTGCACATGTCTCTCTGTGTGCATGTTTACAGATCCTTATGTATGTGTGCACCACTAGATCAGTGCATGACTATGTGTGTGTATATACAGGTGTGATTTTGAAGCCCTGCTCAGCCATGAACCCCACTGGATGATGTTGGGCAGGTCACACTCTCTCAGCCACAAAGGAAAGTTAGGGCAAACCTTTTCTCAACAAAGCTTGTCATGGAAACAATATGTACGCCTCTCTCTGTTTCGTTTATTATAATTACACTAGATTGTGTGGATGCTTTCATGCATTCTTTCTCTTTCTTTCAATCCCACCCCTCATACTTTCTCCTTCCTTTCTCTTCCTTCCTTCCCTTCTTTTCTCCCTCTCTCTCTTCTTTCTTTCTCTTCTTTTTTCTTTCTTTCCTTCCTTCCTCCCTTCCCTCCATACACGTCACCTTTCTTTCCCAGTGACATCACAGAGGGCCACTTCACCTAGCAACAGCCTTTGTTCTTTCACATTTTTATATACTGAGAGATTTATTTATATTGCACCTTTCCCCCACCATGGGGACTCGAAGTGGCTGTACACATGCATGGATAAATATATACATACATGTATGTGTATGGAAATATATGGTGACAAAAAAGGAGGCAAAAGTAGGAAAGGATATATACATCATTTACTGGCACCAAGCATTGTTCCTATGAGAGTGGTGTGTGTTTGTGTATCCTGTACCTATAGGCACAGATAAGAAGACTATCACAATAGATCCGTACATAGACATGTATATCCACACACATGCGTATGCATGGATATATATGCATATACATATACTGCACCACCAGAGCCCCCAGTGGTGCAGTGAGTTAAACTGCTGAGCTGCTGAACTTGCTGATTGAAAGGTTGCAGGGTTGAATCTGGGGAGCGCCATGAGCTCCCACTGTTAGCCCTAGCTTCTGCCAACCTAGCAGTTCAAAAACATGCAAATGAGAGTGGATCATATAGGTACTGCTTTGATGGGACGGTAACTGCGCTCCATGCAGTCATGCCAGCCACATGACCTTGGAAGTGTCCATGGACAATGGCTTAGAAATGGAGATGAGCACCAACCCCCAGAGTCGGACACAACTGGGCTTAATGTCAAGGGGAAAACCATTACCTTTAGCTACATGTTCATGGTCACATATGTGCATACATACATGGATATACAAATGCATACATAGAAATGCATGGAAATATATATGGGCACACAAGCACGTTCAGGGAAATACATTCGGCCCGGCCATTTTTAAAAAAAAAATTATTTGTCACCATTGACTGTTTTTGTTTATGTGATTTATATGATTTGTATTGTATTGATTGTTTATTAATGTTGTGCTTATTGATGTTTTGTTTGATGTATTTTGGGCTTGGCCTCATGTAAGCCGCACAGAGTCCCTTGGGGAGATGGTAGCAGGGTACAAATAAAGTATTATTATTATTATTATTATTATTATTATTATTATTATATAGCTATAGATGTGTGCATAGCTCTGTAAGGGAGATATGCATGTACATCAGTGGTTCTCAATCTTCCTAATGCAGTGACCCCTTAATACAGTTCCTCATGTTGTGGTGACCCCCAACTATAACATTATTTCCATTAGTACTTCCTAACTGTAATTTTGCTACTGTTATGAATCGTAATGTAAATATCGATATGCAGGATGTATTTTCACTCACTGGACCAAATTTGGTAGAGTTTTTTTTTTGGGGGGGGGGGGTTATTTTGTCATTAAAGAGTTGTAGTTGCTGGGATTTATAGTTCACCTACAATCAAAGAGCATTCTGAACTCCACCAATGATGGAATTGAACCAAACTTGGCACACAGAACTCCTATGGCCAACATAAATTATTGGAAGGGTTCAGTGGGCTTTGACCTTGAGTTTGGGAGTTGTAGTTCACCTACATCTGGAGAGCACTGTGGACCCAAACCACTATGGATCTGGACCAAACTTGGCACAAATACTCAATATGCCCAAATTTGAACACTGGTGGAGTTTGGGAGGGACAGATCATGACATTTGGGAGTTGTAGTGCTTGGATTGATAGTTCACCTACAATCAGAGCATTCTGAATTCCACCAATGATGATATTGAACCAAATTTGGCACACAGAACTCCCATGACCAACAGAAAATCCTGGAAGGGTTTGGTGGGCATTAACCTTGGGTTTTGAAGTTGTAGTTCACCTACATCCAGAAAGCACTGTGGACTCAAACAGTGATGGATCTGGACCAAACTTGGCAAGAATACTCAATATGCCCCAATGTGAACACTGGTGGAGCTTTGGGAAAATAGACCTTGACATTTGGGAGTTGTAGTGCTTGGATTTATAGTTCACCTACAATCAGAGCATTCTGAACTCCACCAATGATTAAATTGAACCGAACTTGGCACACAGAACTCCCATGACCAACAGAAAATACTGGAAAGGTTTTTTTTTGTTTTTGTTTTTTTCTCCTGCAGTCACTCCAGGAGACTATTGTTATTACTATTATTATAAAACTTAGTTGGAAGGAAACCCCAAATTCAGCCCCCATCTTTCTGCCAGGCAGGAAGATAGAATTACTCTTCTATTATTATACACCATCTTCTATTTCAT